TATAATGAGTCAGGGTTCTCCCAGAGGGGGGGGGGGATAATGGCACTGAACAGGAGGGTTGAACTGAAGTCTTTCTCAAATAATAATAACAATAACAAGAATAATAGATATTTTTTATTGATCCTCATAGGGAAATTCTCTTTTACGCATCCCCCAGTTTGCTCTCTGTAGGTTATAGCCAGCTCCTGTCCACCCGTAGCAGCACCCAGGGAGCTGGGGGTTAAGGGCCTTGCTCAAGGACCCGCAGACGTAATGGCCCTTAAATGGTATAAACCTAGGGTTCATGTTATTGAGACTGTGCCGGTTCCTTGGACTTCTGAATGTAAGATCACTGGCTCCAAAGGCGTTACTAATAAATGAAATGATTACTGATTTTAGTCTTGGTGCCCTATGTCTTACTGAGATCTGGCTTAAACCGAATGAATTCATGGAACTAAATTAATCTACTCCTGCTGAATACAGTAATAAGCATAACCCTCGACCAAATGGCAAATTGATTTAGGAAATTATAGAATTATCTCAAATCATCCTTTCATTTCAAAGATCCTGGAAAAAGCTGTTGTTCATCAGCTGTATTCTTTCCTACAGAAAAATAATGCTAATGAATTATATCAGTCTGGCTTCAAACCAAACCATAGCACAGAAACAGCTTTTATCATGATGATTTGCTTATGACTTCTGACCATTGTTGTATATCTTTGTAGGTGTTTCTAGATCTAACTGCAGCATTCAATACTGTGGACATAATATCCTCGTGGACTGGCTAGAATCTGTGTTTGGCATTAAGGGGACAGCTCTCTCTTGGTTTCACTCTGATTTAGCTGATTTTTATCAGTTTGTCCATTTGAACAATGAATCTTCCAAACCCACTAAAGGCAAATATGGTGTCCCACAGGGATCAGTACTGGGCCCGCTACTGTTCACTTTATATATGCTCCTGGTAACATTATTAGAAATCAATGGTGTTGAGTTTCAGTGTTATGTTGATGATACACAGTTATACGTATCTGTTACACCAGATGATTCATACTGCTAGTTGGACACAAGGCTGCTTGAAATGAGTTTGACAACCTCAATCTCGGTGGTTTTCCTACTCAGTTTAAAACAGTGGTCAGGGATCTTGGTGTCCTGGTAGATTCAGATCTAGGTTTCGATGCTCACATGAGGAGCATTACAATACAATTACTGTGTTCTACCATCTACAGAACATATAGCCAAGCTTTAGAAGATGCTCTCCTTTCATGATGAAGAAAAACTAATACAAGCCTTTATACCTGCCTTACTGGACTACTGTAATGCCCTCTTTTCTGGTCGCCCAACCAGATCATTACATTAACTACAGCTAATACAAAATGCAGCAGCCAGAGTTCTATGCTCCCTTCACAGGCTTCCAGTCTTGGCTTGACTACAAAATACTGCTGTTAACTTATAAAGCACTGTATGGCCTTGCACCAGAATACCACTGGGGATCTACTGGTCTCCTACAACCCTCCTCACCTACTGCAATCTCAAGGCACAGGATATCTATTAGTACCTACAGTAGAAAATAACTATAGCAGGCTGCAGAGCATTCTCTTATAGAGCTCCACAGCAGATCCACAGCGTCTTCCAGCGGATGAGACTTTTGCCATCTTGATCATGTGACTTTGACTTCCTCTGCTGGCCCCTGGAGGACGGGCTCCCCCTTTGAGTCTGGTTAGGGTTAGGGCTTCCTCTACTGCCCCCTGGAGGTTGGACTCCCCCTTTGAGTCTGATTCCTCCCAAGGTTCCTTCTTTCTAGGGAGTTTTTCTTGCCACTGTCGCCTCTGGCTTACCTACTGTACTGGGGGCTTTGGGCAGGGATAATGCAAATTGCTGTGAGACAATGTAATGTTGTGAAAATGCACTAGATTAATAAAATTGAACTGAATAAAAAAAGTTGCCATCATACAACTATGTAATGCTAAGAAACCAAAAAGTCACATATCAAACTGAGACCCAGTATTGACAACCAACCTGCCCCACACAGCCACCAGTCTCTGCCAAATCCCTGCAGCTGACAGTGTATGAGCTTAATGAGGGATCATTTCCAATCAGTGCTGGCTGGGTTTCAGCACCTGAGGCATCCAGCATTGTGACGCTCCAAACCACAGCCCTGTGCTGTTTTTATACCTCCTGTCAGCTCACATAACTATTGTACAATGAGGCTCTCTGGAGTCTCAAAAGGGGCCAATTGTAATTTACCGTCCTCTACTCCCTGTGTCACCAACAGAGCTCAGCACAGTCAGCAGTGGAGGACAGTGAGAGAATCTTCACTGAGATGATCCTCTCCATTGAGAGAAGACGCTCTGAGGTGACAAAGCTGATCAGAGATCAGGAGAAGGCTGCAGTGAGTCAGGCTGAAGGAGACATGGAGAGACTGAAGCAGGATATTGATGAACTGAAGAGGAGACACTCTGAGCTGGAGCAGCTTTCACACACAGAGGATCACATCCATGTCCTCCAGGTAACAGAACAGCTACTTTGACAATATAAGAACCATAGTATTCAAATGGATGTATGATTTCATCGGTATTTCAAATTGTTTATAATT